ACAAAAATATTTTATGGAAAATCAAAAAAGATGTAATAATTTTTTATCCTCAAAAGCAATTGTTTTGTTAATACAAGCAGAAAGTTTTTTAGATCATTCAAATCGGACGCTTAGTTCACTCAAAAACTGCCATTTTATGCACATTTAGCTCTGTATCTTCAAAATGGCGGGACCTGTCTTTGCCAAAAACTAATCACTTCTTCTCCCAATCATTACAAATTGAATGTTTTTCAGATCATTCGAATCCGATACTCCGTTCTCTCAAAAACTTTATTTGTATTTTCTGCACTCTTTTCTCAGTATCTCCGTAACGGCTGGACCTTCTTTTGCCAAAAACTAACCAGCACATCTCTCTATCAATAGGGATCGAATGCTTTTCAAACCATTCAAATTGGTTGATTCGTGCGCCCGAAAACGTGGACAAAAAAAAATGCGGACATACAAAACACACACACACATCCATTTTTTCTGAGTTATGCCAAAATATTTAGAAACCTTCAAAACGTAGAGAAATGCAATGCATTTTCATTTTCAATTTTCGGCCCATTACTATAACTATAACTACCCTACGCGAAGTTAAATATATGCCTCTAACCCTTACCCTATTACCTTACCAGCAATAGAAAAACTTTAAGAATAAAAGTATATCAAATTTGGCTAAATAAATTGTTGTGTTGCCTTTAAATCCTGTATTCGGACGTATCTTCATTTGATAATATTGGCCACGAAGGCGGCAATCTTCATGGCATTGAGCTTTTACACCATGTAGAAAAGGTGGCTTATTTGTATCGGATTTATTTTTGTCACTTCTAAAACTAAAGTCCGCGTAACAACATATGTAATGAATAATCAATAATTATATCTTCTTCAATTAGAACTTAGTGACAAATCATTATTGTAATAAGAATTTGCAACAAATCTATCCAAACTCAACGTTTGGCCTCTAAGTCAGAAGGTCCTACAAATTGCAAGCCAAATCAGCAAATAATTCCGGAAAATATAATCATTTCCGCAAAATATCACTTCCCAATTTTTTTCATCAATCCATTTTTTAATTTCTGCATCCAGTCTCCACAGTCCATTGACTTTGCTCATAAAAATCGTTTTAGATTTAAATCCGTTTCAAATATGAATGACAAATGTACGTCAATCGCCTACGAAGCGTGTCTTGTTTAACAATTATTTGTCATTCGCAAATTCAATGCCGGCTAAATGATATAATTAAATTAATATGAAACAATTCCTTTCACGTACGAAAATAAACATTAATTGTTGACGTTTGGTAATGCGAAAAATATTAATTACGACACATGACAATGAAGTACTTTATAAGAAGTTTGCATTCGGAGTACGTGCCGAAACCTGATTTTTTTGCGTCATTGGGAAGAGGATTTTCATTGATGAAATGTGGCCCGCATATTGGATAAACAGAAGTCTAAGGGGCTACGTGATTGAGGAAAAAAATATAAGTAAGGTAAATGTACCACGGTAGGGTAAGGTTGATTAAGGGGTACCCTTTAAGGGGCCGCCTATTAATAACGTGATCGATTTATAAAGATTTTTGGACACTCACTTAATAATATTTAAAATTAGCCTCCTCCCTATTAAAGCCTCAGGTGATTAATCAACGCCCCCTAAAAAAATAATGTTCTAATTTAAAGTGCATTTAAAAGAAAATTTTTGGTTTTGTATGATTTAACCCTTTTTATTCGGATGCAAAATACGTATTCATTCTGCAATTTGCGAGTGGAAAGGGTAAGATCGAAGAGTAAAATAGAAGGACTGAAAGGATTGGGAACAAGAAGAATGCAGATGGTTGACGACATATGCAAGAAGAGGAAATACAGGGAATTGAAAGCCGAAGCACCAGGACAATCTACAACATTTTCATGCAATTTACGATATTTTGAGACAAAATGCAACATTTTCAGACATTTCAGTCAATTTGCAACATTCTCTGACAATTTGCAACATTTTGAGACAATATGCAACATTCTCAGACAATTTGCAACATTTTGAGACAATCTACAACATTTTCTGGCAGTTTGCAACACTTTCATGCAATTTGCAACATTTTGAGACAACCTACAATATTTTCTGGCAATTTCCAACATTTTTAAGCAATTTGCAACATTTTAGAACGATCTGCAACATTTTCTGGCTATTTGCAACATTCTTAGGCGATTTACAACATTTACTTGCAATATTTTCAGACAATTTGCAACATTTTCGGATGATTTTCAGTATTTTTAGACAGTTTGCAACTAGTTTTCAGGTCAACTAGAACATTTTCAAGGTTTGAGAACATCTTTAAACTATATAGATTGTTTTTTGAGTAACTAGAACATTTTCAGGCTATGTAGAACAATCTAAAAGATTTTCAAAGTAACCAAAATATTTCAGACTCTCCAGAACATTTTCAGACTATGCAGAATATTTCAACATTATGCAGAATACTTCCATACTTCCAAGTTATCTGGAACATTTTCTGAATATATAGTACATTTTCAGCCTTTCTTGAACAATTTCAGATTATCTGCAGTGTTTTCATACAAACTAGAACATATATCATTAAAAATATTTTCATACAAGCTTGAACAATTTCAAATTATCTGCAGTAGACATCCAGATTATCCACAATATTTCCAAAATCTCTATAACAATTTCAGATCATCTGCAACATTTTCAGACTATCTGCAAAGTTTCAACAACATTTTCATAGTATCTAAAATATATTAGGAATATTTATACAATTTTTAGAATATCTAAAAGACAAAGACTCTTCAAGAACATTTTCACATCATATGCAATGTTTTGAGACTATCTGCAAATTATTCAAAGTATCAAAAACATTAGATTTCAGACTATCTGCAACATATTCAGAGTATCTATAACATTTTCGGAATATTAAGAAATGTTTTAAAATATCTTGAACGATTTTAGAATATCAAGAACATTTTTAGACTAACTAGAAATTATTTGCAGACTATCCAGAATATTTCCAGACTCTTTAGTACCTTTTTCAGATTATACAGGACATTTCAAGCTATTCAGAATATTTGCAAATTATGTAGGTTATACTATCCAGAATATTTCCAGACACTCCAGAACATTTTCAGATTATCTGCCACATTTTGAGACTATCTGCAAAGTTTACAGGCAATCTAGATAATTTCCAGAATATGTAGAACATTTTCAAAAAATATTTGGAACGTTTTCAGAAAATGTTTGCTTGTTCAGTTTCATACACCAACCTTGATTGAAGTTGCATAAGAAAGTTTCACTTCAATAAATTAGCTTCCATTTAGATAACCAATTTAAATGAAAAAAAAAACGCAAAATATATCAGATATGTAAATCTATTACCATTCGAATTAAAATTATATTTTTAATAAAAGACAAAACATTTCAAGTCAACTTTTCGTTTTTTACGATCACAGCCTCAAATTTGTGAACATAATTACGACAAACATGAAATTGTCAGTTTTTAGAAAAATATATTTGATAAAAACTGAGTTTTGCAATGAATTGTTTTTGCTTATTATTACTAATCAATAATATCACAAATATAAATTGAATAAACTTACCGGTATCATATGAAATCCTGTAACTGTCATCTTAGGTTAGTCAAGGTCAACTGACAGTCCACATTGACTTCAAAAATTATTATTTAAATTCGACAACCGTGCTATTTTTATTGCAACAAAACCATATTGTTAGTATAGTATTCTATAAAATCATGATTTATTTATCGTTTGTCTTGATCTTTCGACGAAAATAAAAATACCATGGCACAACGTACAAACCCGCCATTTTCTAGCTCTTTATTTTACAAACCACTTGTTGCTAATTAATGGCTTATAATTTAAAATATAATTGTCTAATTTTATTCCATTTACCACAATTCACTTTAATTTTTCTAAAACAAGCACCTTTAGATATTATTTATCATATTGTGCAAACGTAAAAGTTTTTAACTACAAAAATAGCTGTTTTAGCAATGTGTTACAATGACAGCTTCAAAGAAGTGAAGTTAGCTGCAAACCGACAACCACAAATCAGAACAATGTCGCGAAAAAACAAAATGTCAAAATAAATTAAGAAAAGTACTTTAATTTGTGCAAAATCAGTAATTAAAATTAAAATAAAAAAGTTAAAGTGATTAAAATTAATATATTGGTGTGTTTTATTACAAACATTTATGGAATTTATGGAAATACTCCAGGTACATTAGGTATAAGATTTTAGCAATAATACTATAACCAAATATGATACGATTGATATGGGGTTAAGTATTGGAAATTATACTTTTTAATAATCTAATATTAAATGCTTCAAATTAAGTTTAAACTTTTTACACTATACTTTTATATCTTTGCACTATAGTATTCTCTAATATTATTATTCTTCAAAAAAACTTCAATCAATACTTGAACTTTGACATTGATTTTGGCATTCATTGCTCTACTAAAATAATGTTATTGATTAAAATGATTAAACCTTAAATCGTATATTACAATTTGTTACACATTCATATAATTCTTTAATTCATTATGATTATATTATTATAACTGTTCAATTTTATCACTATATACAGTGTACTTTTCAATGCTTTTAATAACATTATTGACTAATTGTCTCTAATTTTGCTCAGCTTTTATAATGAAAATATTGCATTTTATGAAATTTGTATAAGCAAATTTCCCCAGAATCTGGCTATTAAAAATAATTATCCTTACAAAGTTAGTAAATTTGAATTTCAAATCTCCCGCCAGTTATGTTACTACTGCCGCCATCTTGTAGACAACTAGTTAATGGACGAAAGTTGCTTTGGTTTATAACATGTTATCTACTAAAATCGTTGATATTATTGTTATCCAGTTTATTTCAAAAAACAATAGAATGTTAATTAGTAGTGTGAGTTTATTATTTTGATAATTAAATAATTTTGATTTCAATATCACATGTATTGCCATCTTTTGTGAATTTTCTAGGTACGTAACGTCCATCGTATTGTTTTGACATTTCCCATCAACGTGTTCTATTTTTAAACATTTTCTTAAGGTTAAGTTTAGATTTCGATTCCCCAGTGTCATGTTACAGTGCCGGAAAATAAGACGTGTTTTAACCTATTATTTAGTTTGTTAAATAATTTAAAGTCAAAAATGGGGAAGAAAAAGTCCCATCAGACCCGGAATTGTGCAACCGGCGATCACAGACATTTGCCTAAACATAAACGCCAGGAATTGAATAATTTGGTAGAGAAATTATTGAAAGTCACTAGTATTAATCCTGATGGTCCAGGTATTGGTAAATTATGTGACCTCCATGCTGAATCACAAGTTATTATTGATCGTATCCAGCAAATTGAAAGCGAGGTTAAGAGCCCTATACACTTACAAAATCGCAACGCTTCTCTAGACACGTTTTTATCATGGCTAAAACAAAATGATGCTAAATTCGAGAGCATCAAAATCTCCCACTTTCCTGAATATGACTTAGGCTTAGAAGCTACTACACCAATCACTAAATCTTCTGTCATCTTAGAAGTACCTCAAAAACTTATGTACACGAGTCAATGTTGCGATGTAGCAGACTCCAAAAAGCTTTTCGATACTGATAAAATGTTAACCAACATGCCAAATGTAGCTTTAGCTTTTGCATTAGTCGTGGAAAGATTGAATAAAGACTCGTTTTGGAAACCGTATTTAGATGTTTTGCCTAAAGACTATTCTACAGTTTTGTATTATAAATCTAATGAATTGCAAGAGTTGAGAGGGTCTCCGAGTCTGGAGATGGCTTTGAAACAGTGCAGGAGCATTCGGAGGCAGTATGCATATTTTTATAAGATGCTGTGGACTTCATCTTTTGCTCTATTTGAGAAGATTAAGGAAAAATGGACTTATGACCTGTATTGGTAAGTGGATAAGTTAATTATAATGTATATATATATATATATATATATATATATATATATTTGAAGTATTTTGCAGCTCAATCATAAAATTAAAAGAAGGTAAATAAGACAAATTCTTGATTAATTAAACGTTTCAACACTTAATGCGTCATCATTCTGTGATCAAACCAGAAAAAACACAAGAACATAAAATTTATTAAAAACCCAAAAATTGTACTATAGAACAACATAATTAATATATAATTAATAAGCGAGCAACATAATGACCCAATTTGAAGAATGTTCATTCAATTTTATGTATTTGTATTTTTCCTGGTTTGATTACTGAATGATGACACACATTAAGTGTTGAAACGTTTAATTAATAAAGAATTTGTCTTATTAACTTTCTTTTAATTCGATGATTGGGCTGCATAATGCTTTAAATATGTATCAACGTCGACACAACTATCATCACATATATATATATATATATATATATATATATATATATAATATCCTGCTTCTCTGAAATAATATGATTAAAAAATAATAATTTCAAAATATCATTGTCAATGGTAAATTTGAATTTCTAGTCTTTAAATATATAATATTTTTTATTACTCGTAATAGTACACAATATATTCTTATTTTTATCCTAACGATACATAAAATCTTTCAAACAAAACTAAAATTCTGCATACACATAATAATAAATAACTAATAATTTCATCTCAGTGTTAGTGATATTTAAAACATAAATTAAGAGTCTTATAAAAATATATACATACATAAATTATATACATTGATACTAACATGCTTTTCCTGCATTGATATCAGTGAAAGGTTTTTTTAAAGTGATCCCATAAATATTCTTGAATATTCCTTCGAGACCTGGTATCGAGAGTGTGTAACTTACCATTTTTGGATCTCGATATCATAACTACAGGGCTCTCTTTTGGGGCACACAGATCATGCTGGAGAATAGGTGTACGTCCTTTGCAAAAAAGTAGTCTGTTGTTATATCGCATTTTGTTTTTGCTTTTTTGACGCCATCTGCAAGCAATAAAAATGCAGAGGAAGACTAAGATTGATAAACCACCTATAACCGAGCTGGCTATTATTGCAGATCGGACTCCTAAAGCTTCAACGTAGCTAAAATGACCATCAGAAATGTCTATGGTTTTGTATTCACTTTCACTAGACAAGTCGACGTGTAGGATTTCATTATTGGTATCAGAGTTGCCTGTGTGTTCCATCAGGACATCCATGAGTCCCTGAGTGCTTTCTTTTACCTCCGGTTCACTACTTGGTGTAACTGGTTGGGACCTGGAGTTCTTTTTTGTAGCTCTGGAAGGTAAGGCTGTAGCGATGTTATCAAAATCACCCATGGATCTACTTTTTTTGATGAAATCTGGTGGAGGTTTTACACGACTCATGAAGCCTAGTACTGACAAATCAGAACTTTCAGCTAACGAATCAGTTTCAGCTGATAAACGCACTCCACGCATATGGGATAAGTCGAAATTTGGAAAGTTTTCAAACATAGCAACCTCGCGTTCAACACTTGCTAAATCTCTAGGACGTCTAGTAGTGGTTGTATACATTCTTAGGTTAGCCAAACGGTTTTCTTCCTCGGTAAGTCTTTTATCAACTTCTGCCAAGTGCAGTTGACTCGAACCACGTTCCCTGTGGTCCAACAACTCCTCCAAAGTCATATTTCTTTCTTCCAAAACCCGACGCAATCTATTGCCTCCACGTCCATTCAAAACTTCCAGCAAGTGCCCTCTATCGAATTCCCTGGTGTATGCTGTATCATAATCATTGCTATCGAGTCTTAAAGAATTATCAGTATGTACTATAATAGATTCTTGTAAAACTGTTTTGTCAGTACTTGTCACAACTGGTTCTTTGTAAGTTGTCCTTTCAGGTTCATAATCTATAGACATTGGTGATGTAGAGTGTCTCCATGTAGTACGTTCATATTTAGTAGTAGGTTCTTCTTTGTCGTCAACTGTTGTAGGAACTTCTGAACCATCTTCAAAACTTATGGACGAAGTTTGCTCGCTGTTGAGGAGTTCAGTACTTGATGCAAAAAATTCACTGGATGTACCCTGGACTTCCACATATGGATCTTGAGTAACAAAAATACTTGCTCTGGTGGTTTCTTCCACTCGTTTTTGTATCATCAGGAAGAGTGGTTGCAACAGTACTTTCTTTAACACTCCCAACCTCATAACTTCTTGTATAATGCACACTCGTGGACTGATTCATATGCCAACCTATTATCTCATCAGGTCTTGGTGTTTCTGCATGCACCACCACAACTTTTTCACTACTATCTCAAATCTTACCATTTTCGGAGCATCATCCAAACACAACGGTATTTCCTTTACCTTTTGGAGGTGAAGTTGGAAAAACAACAATTGTCGTCGACGGTTCAGCAATTTTATACTTGACTTCTTTTTCTTGATCATCTCTGCCAAATACAAACTTGATGCTTTCGTTTTCTATGGGCTTGAATGATGAACTGGTTCCACTGATGAAAGTGAATCTGGTAGGCGCGTTTGATGGAATGTCGAACTTATTTTTTGTGTCTTCGGGATTTTCAAGTTTTGATCGCCAAATTGGAATTTGAGTTGGTTTTTGTTCTTCGTTTCGGAAAGGCGGCTGGAGTTCAGTGCTGACTTCGTTTTGGTTTCCTGGTGGTATGCGTTGACCATATGCTGAAAGAGACACAAATCTAGAAAATGAATCAGATAAAATATAATATCTATGTAACTTAGAAATATTCTACGATAAAGTCATACAATTTTCCATGATAGCGAATTTATTAGTATGAAATATTTGATTTTTACAAAACAATGGAAATGTTTTATAGAAAAATAACTAGGAGTTCAGTTCCATTGTTGCGTAAGAGCCACCTCTTACTGTTATAATATTTGATATATTGATATACAACCATCACATGAAGTAATTAATCAAAGCATTATTCATTATTAAATATTAAAACCTAATACATAAATCAGATATAAAAATATGGATTTATGATATTATAAAACTAATAGTGAAAAGTAACCCTTTCTGTTATTTCCTCTTTTATTTCGGAAAGTAGTTTATCTCATAAGATTTCTTTCACTTTTATAGAGTTTTTTCATTATTTGTGTTAACAATAAATCTCGGCTGAAAATCGAAAATGAAAATTTTTGCATATCTTCACGTTTCAAAGGTTTCCGAACATTTCGGCATACCTTAGAAAAAATTGATGTGTGTGTGTGCGTGCGTGTGTGGGGGGGTCAACCGATTTGAATAATTCAAAAAACATTCGATTCTTACTAGATCTAGCCGTTTCGGAGGTACGAGGCAAAAACTGCCAAAAATGGTATTTCAGTTTTTGAGATAACGGAGCGTTCGATTTAAATAATTCAAAAAACATTTTTTGTGTTGACGAAAGGAACAACTGATAAAATTTTTGAAAAGGCAGGTCCAGCGTCTTCGGAGATCCAATAAAAAAAGTAAAAAATAAGGCCATTTAGGGGACAAAAATGATCATTAGACATATGTACATCGTATTATCAGATATTTTATAAATATTATAATAATAAGTACAAATTTTATGTACATTTATATGGGTTCCATACCAATGTTTACACGTTAGACGACTACGCGGCGCTTACGCGCTTTGATATTTCGCCTCCAAATCAGCTTTGCAGCGCGATTGCTTAGAAAAAATGTTCAGAATTTTCAAAATAAATCAAAATACAAAAAAATCAAAATATAAAAAAAATCCAATTTTTCAAAAAAGTCAATTGTTTTCAAAAATTTCAAAATTTCTCAAAAACCAAAATTTTTCAAAGATTTGCAAGTTTTTTTTTAATTATTTGGTTTTCAGTACGGGAAGTTCCAGCAATTTTCCTTAAAGCACGATGCCATATACCACTAGTTTTAGCAATTTTTGAAAAGGGATTTTTCAAAATACTGCTGATTCAATCAAAATTTTGGAAAGCAAAATAATTAGAAAGTAGATACTGATTAGAAAATAATTATGGCACTTCAGAATGTTATTTGGGGGATTTTGAGGAATTGTTGACAAATTGCTTCAGAATGCTGTTTTTTATATTGTAGATACTTTTGAGTTTTATTTGTAACATTCTAGTTAAATATTAGTAAGTTATTTAATTAGATTTTTTTATTGGGCAATAATTTATTTGTTCGAGTCAAATTTTTGGTGTGAGTATCAAGATACTCAAATATAAAATTATCTGACCAATGATTAACCAGTGGATTTTGTTGGAGCGATTCTGTCTCACAACAGACTAATGTTATGGCAAGGCCATGTTATGCTCCAACATCCATACATTATGCTACTGAATCATACTGAACGAACATGAAATACGTCATGTATTTGCTGTGCATTCAGGCATTTTACACATAAACTGCAACGTCACTCGTATGTTATGAAGCTGATTCAGAAAGACCCTATTATCTAGCATCGTTTTGTTGACATTTGTGCGGTTTCTAGGTTAGGTTTTCTATCTAAAAACCTGAGAAATACCAGTGACTGCATAGCAACCACATGGCTTTTGTCAATATTTAGTATGGAAAGTTCTTCATAACATAGTCTTGCCATAACATTGGTCTGTTATGCTGCAGAATCGGTCCATTTATTCATTTATGTTTAAGGGGGTATTCTACTGTAGAATTTTGAAAAAATCGAAAAATTTTTTTTTCCATATTTTCAAAGTTTAGTTATTCAAAAATATGTCATTAAAAGGATTTTTCAAAATTACTATTATTTCCTGAGTTATAGCCGTATTAGTAACGTGGCCTCGGTTCGGGTCCGACTTGTCTCAAAACTTTGATCGCGTTTTTCTCGGAACTACTTTTTCGAGCTGGCGGTAAGGATATCTCAAGTTCTAATGAACCGATTTACTTCAAATTTGGAGAGGATCTTCCCTATACATCGCTTTATCGTATGGACCTTGCCCAAAACTATAACTTTTCATTTAGTATTTTTAAAA